CCCCAACGAGATGGATTGGCCAAGTGGCAGCATTGATGGACTCAAGCGTGGCAACAATAGTGAGGTGGGCCAGGATGGGGTAGTGTTTCATTCTGCTGTGCATAAGATCACTATGGGTCGGTACCAAATCGATGGCACCTAACAACAACAAAACCTTCACTCAATTCATAATAAAAATTTTTTAAAAAAGAAAGAAAGAAAAGCCAAGATCAGCCTGTGGGAACTCTATGGAGCACAGTGGTGTGATCCTCAGATGGTCAAGATGACGCAGGACCCGGCAGTTTCTCACTCTATTGTGCACTGGAGTATCCATGAGGCAGGCTATGCAGAAGCTCACAGCAGCTAGTAGATGTGACTTGGAGGCTTTCAGGGTGGCTTGCTGCTGCAAAGTCTCCAAACACGTTGAGTGCAAGCACTGTCAATACAGATGAAGGTGGAGAGAGGGTGCTAATATTAGGTAGGAAGCGTGGTGTGTAGCAGGGCCACATGGCTGATAAACTCGGAAGTCTCCTGAAGAAGGTGACAATGGCAGGGTCTAAAGAGCCAAATGCAGCCTGTCTATATAGAATGGATGCAAACAGGTTCTTTAATGAATTTGTATTCATTAATTAAGAAGTCTCCAAGTGTCTTCAAATTTCAGTATTCAGAGAAGACTGTGTGACTGGTAAAACTGTGGGGACTCACAAAGAAGTGATCGAAGGCAAATAGAGTATCAATAAAGGAGAAAGAACATGAAATTGAGAGGTTAAGTGCTCTATATTAGGAGAACATCATTGCCTAGACTAAGTAGAGATTGTAGACAGAATAGAAGAAAAAAATTACTGGGTGACTTTTCTCCAATGATGAGATGCAGTTTTGTGGATCACAAACCTGTATCCTGGTCCCAGATCCTCCTTTTACCAGCTCTGTGAATTTGGGCAAATAAATTAAACGGTCTAAACTTTGGTTTCCTTTCTACAAAATGGGATTATCATAGTACCTACCCAAATGTTTGTTGTGAGGATTTAATTAGAATATGCCAATAAAATGCTTGGCATAATAGCTATCATAAACTCAATAAAACTTAACTACCACTCTGTTCATAATAGTATCAGCAATATTATCAACATAATTAACACAGTGACCTCTATAATTAGCCCTAAAAATAGGGCTGTTTTAATTAGCCATTAGCAGTTGGAATGCCAACTCTCCCTATTACATTTCCATTGGAAAAAATGCACTAAGTCAATGAAAGCACACCAAGGATCCCTTGAGAAAAATACCCTTTCTCAGCATTTCAATAGATGTTTGAGTCTCCTACTTTGATGTCAGAATAAGATGAATGGTGCTCTTTTAGCAAATAAACCTCAAAATCTCAGTGATTAAGACTGTAAAGCTTTGGTTTTGCTCATGTTCTGGTATAATAAAAATCAGTTGACATCTCTCTCCCAAGTACTAACTCAGGGGCCCAAGCAGCCTCCATCTGGAGATGTGTTTTTAAGAGTCAGACTTTATACCTTGTGGCTTACACTCACTGATCCTAGTGTTAGGATAAGTTTTGTCCCTCTCATAGAAGACAGCTCTTTAAATGAATCTTTTTTACTCTAAGCCGATTCTTCTCATTTCCATGAGTCCATTGTCATAATGTATGGTTTGGGGCTTTCACTATCCTAGTGGTCTCATCTGAATGTACTAGTTAGCCTACATCCCTGCACCAAGATTGATTCTAAATGTAGAAGTCTGACAGGTATAAAATGAATAGCATAATCACCTCCTTTTTTCTAGAGAATATACTTCTATTAATACAGCCTAAAGCCACACTCATTTTGTATGTGATACTGAAGTTACCACCAGCTGAAATAGCCTTAGGTATACAGTGGATTCAGTGTTCTCTTACCGATGTTTGCTCTTCTCTTTTCAATCTAAATAGGAATCTTCATGATAGAAAAAGTCCATAAGGACTTCATAAGTAGACGAGATTTGATTGCTCTAATTTATCCACTTATATAACCCATCTACTCTATGCTCTGGTAGCGTAGTGGTTACCAATTGGGCTGCTAACCTCAAGGTCAGCAATTTGAAACGTTCCGCGGGAGAAAAATGAGGCTTTCTGCTCCTATAAAGATTTACAACCGCAGAAACCCTATACAGGGTAGCTATGAGTCGGAACTGACTCCACGGTACTTAAAGACAACAACAACCCTATGCAGGTGGCAAGCCTCCTGGGAGCGGGGAAGGGGGGAAGAGGAAGATGCCTTATAGAAAAAGCTTATGTTGGCGTTCTGGTGTGGCGCTGTGCGCTAATGCGTCAGATTGCAAAGTCGTTTGAACTGCAAGGTCGGTGGTTCAAGCTCACCAGCTGCTCCTTGGAAACCCTATACTGGGTCACTATGGGTCGGAATCGACTCGACGGCACTTCACAACAACAAATTGTTGGTAAAATCCTGAGCCAATTAGCTGCCAAGTCTTAACCACCTCTGTTATTTCTTAGGCTGACTCTCCCATTCACCTTGTTGCAGGTACCACATCTGTGTGACTGTGTTGATCTATTTCCTCCCCCTCTTGGTGATCGGCTATGCGTACACCGTAGTGGGAATCACCTTATGGGCCAGTGAGATCCCAGGGGACTCCTCTGACCGGTACCACGAGCAAGTCTCTGCTAAACGCAAGGTGAGCATGTGCAGGCAGCCCATAATCCATCCTGACCAGGCTACAGGTTAGCAAGCAAGAGTGACGACTGCCCTATAGCCTTAGAAGACCAAGATGCCAGAGGTCTGAAAACTGAGGAGGGGGAGGAAACTCTGAGAGGGGAAGGAAAGGAAGAAAAAGAGTATTTCTTCAAAGTATTTGTAACCTAGACCTGAAGGTACAAACATGAACCACCCTTCTCATTCCTGAAGAGTAGCTGCAACCTGTCAGCCATTAAAACACATATACTATACATTTAATACACAAGCATTTAAGAGTTATGCAACCCTTTTTATTGTTGATTGACATTTTCCATAAATAATACATCTACATCATTCAAACACCAAAAAGCGTTAAAAGGGACACAGTTATAATGATGAAAAGAGATCAAAGCTTGTTGGGTGAGGACTGAGGAGAGCGTCTGACTGTAAAGGGATAACTTGAGGGATTTTCTTTACAGTGGAGCAGTTCTGTACACTGATTGTGGTGGTGTTTTCACTTATTTATACTTAACAACAACAACACTACATGTGATGCAGAATAAACACTCAACCTCAAGGTTGATTTGAACCACAAGGGTGGCCGTTCAAATTCACCAGACACTCCTTGGAAACCCTATGCAGATGATAACATTTTGTAAAACTATTGCTGTTGTTAAGTGCCATTGAGTCAGTTCCAACTCATAGTGACTCTATCTATGACTTCTGAGGAGCGGCTGGTAGGTTTGAACCACCAACCTTGTGGTTCAAACTGACCTTGTGGTCTAGTGTTTATCCTACAGCACCACATGCCCTCAAAAAAGTCAGTTCATGTAAAAACTAGCAATATCCAAAAATACATGTGTTTATTTAATAGTATTGTACTAATACTAGCTTCCTGGTTTTGATAAGGTAGAATGGCTATGTAAGATGATCTCATTGGAGGAAGCTGGGTAAACAGTGCCTATTTTGGCAACTTCTTGTAACTCAAATTATTTCAAAGATAAAAGTTAAAAAAATATATTAAAGGGCTTACTATGAAAAGTCTCATACATAGACACAGTGGTAACTGCTGGCATTAGTGTCTAATTTAGCCTTCTAGAATTTTCATGTATTTTAAAGCTAAGTATTTATTCGTTTCGCCTCTCCTTTTGCACACAAATGATAAATGTATACTGTTCTTCCCCTTGCCTTTTTCATTTAACAATATCTACAAGCTCTTTTACAATCAATGTATAAAGACCTTCAGCGTTCTGCTGTTGTTGTTTTGGTATTACGTCTGCCTAAGTATATCATGGTGTTGATATTATGTAATTTTTCCTGACGATTTCTTGGAATGAAAAAAACAATGGAGGTTACATTTCCCAATATTCGTAAAACATTATTTTACATCTCTTTTAAATATATAATACTCCCTGAATAATCAACCTCCAGATTTCCGAAGCTCTTCCCTTCTCCTTCTTCCCCCTGAAAACTGCTAAAGCCCTCAGCTACCTTGGCTCATTGACCCTTCCCCTGGCCCCGCCCCCGCCCTCCACTGCTGTTTTCTCCCTGTCCTGGATTCACCTTTTCTCATTAATGTATGCTCCCTTGACTCTCCAGTCCTTTCCCAGAAAGATAACATACCACAGTGCTTTTCCATCTTGAGCCTGCACCAGATGGAAACCCCCCTCAGAACTGGTCAGAACACAGAATGCTGGGTCCCACCACCAGTGTTTCTGATTCAGTCAGCCTGGGCTAGTGCCCAAGAATTTACATCTCTAATGAATTCTCAGTGAAGATGATGATGATATTGGTCCCTTTGCCACTGCGCATAAAAGATCCTTCCCCTCCTTGACAAGACCCTTCCCACCCCATACTTCATCATGTGAAGAGGTGGGAAAAAAGAGACAGCAGCCATGAGAGAAGATGTCTCACCTGTCTCACCTTCTTGCCAGGTGGTCAAGATGATGATAGTAGTGGTATGTACCTTTGCCATCTGCTGGCTGCCCTTCCACATCTTCTTTCTCCTGCCCTACATCAATCCTGATCTCTACCTGGAGAAATTTATCCAGCAGGTCTACTTGGCCATCATGTGGCTGGCCATGAGCTCCACCATGTACAATCCCATCATCTACTGCTGCCTCAATGACAGGTAAGAACCCCCCATCCTCTCTCCAAGGACCACAAGACCATCTGCCGATACAGCGAACAGCTGACCTAAATGAGCAAAGCTGGCTGTGACACAAGAGGGAGTAGTGGGGACTGTGGCAAACTACTCCCCAAATGACACCGCCCCCGCTCATTATTGTCACGCACGAGTAGGAGCCCAGGATGAGCAGACATGTTCTTTTTCAAGAGAAACCACAAGTCCACATTTTTCTAAGTTCTTAATGCTGGCAGTGAAGGCAGGGAGGAAAATTTTTCAATCTCTGATTGATGCATATCAAGCATGCCTGCAAGCTAGATCCAGATTCCATCCTTGGCCTGTGAATTTGTTCTCTCTCTTCTCTAGCTCCAGAACACAGGGGGCTGTGTCTCTATATATGTACAGAGAGGGGGCGAGAGAGCCGAAGATTGGTCCAAAGCTGAGTCAGCCACATGTGTCTCAGAAATACCATCCCCCATAGGGCACCTTTGCTCTTCTCTGATCTTTCATACTAGTTGGGAAGCTTTACTCAGTTTCTTCTGGTTTAAAGCCCATTTCCAGCAGGACATAGTAAGCAGAAATGATTCAAGGCCTCAAAGGCATGACTCCTGCCCTTTCTCTGCAACAGAGGTTGGAGAGAATCATCCCCCCAACAGAAGCCAACCTCAGACAAACAAGAGGAGGCAGAACTCATAAGGGATGTGGCCAGTAGTAAGGAATTCATCATGCAGCAGGTTCCTAAGAGGGAGCTGGGGTACCGTGCCACAGCTCAATCCATAATCCAGAACACAACCCCAGCCTCTAACGGGGGAAGGAGGTGGGAGAGGTAGGGACAGGAACAAAATGTTGTTTATAGACTTTGTACCCATCAGTCATCCACCCATAAAGTGTCTTCTGTGGATGAGACATTCAGATACTATAAATCTGGGGAAAGACATTTTCCTCAACTTACCTAAATGTTAAATTTAGGTTAAATCTCCTAATATGTCTTTAATTAAAAGTTGATTCTGCTTGTTGTACAAACCGAGAAATTGAGTCACACCCAAGGGACATGGTTGGCAGAAAGTCTATGAGCTACTTGAGAGAAAGGACTGAGTCTTTTATTATTATTATTATTATCATTATTAATTATTATTATTATTATTATTATTATTGTTTGTGTGAAGGTTTACAGAGCAAAGTAGTTTTCCACTCAATAATTTGCACACATTCTGTTTTGTAATATTCACTGTAATTCCTCAACATGACAGACTCTTCCTGCTTCCTCCCTGGGTTTCCCCTCTCCAGTCTACCTTCTTTCCTACCCTTCCTGTCTTCTGAGTTTTTTTGGTTTGTAATAAATACTGCCCTTTGGGTCTCCTATGGTGAATTGTTCATGGAATACACTTACAAGATACTGTTCACTATCTGTTGTTTGACTGCAAGGCAATTCCCAGGTGTGGGTTCAGTTCCATGTTTGAAGGATCTCAAAGGGTCAGTCTTGGAGGTTCCACCAATTTCTGTCAGACCATTAAGTTTGGTCATTTTTATGATTTCTGAGTTTTCTTCTGAATTTTTCTACCATTCTGTCCTGGACCTCCTGTGATCCAGATTAGAATGCTTGGCACCATCTAGTTCTTCTGCTCTCAGGGTAATGGAGTCTGTGGTTGGGATGGTCCCTTAAGTCTTTGTACTAATTGTTTCCTTGAACTTTGGATTTTCTTCACTCTACTTTCATCGGGATGGGGACACACCTTTAGATGCCTCTTAGATAGCTTATAAGACCCCCATCCATCACTAGTCACCACAGCAGGATGTAGAAAATTGTCTTTGTGAACTATGTTATGCCAATTGACTTAGCTGTCCCCCAACTGACTCATTCCCTGAGGTGTTTGGTTAGGGCTAAAAAGTTTTCATAACTCTGCCCCCCAGTTTGCTCTACTATCTACATGGGTATACTTACAGCACATACAAATATGTCAATAGAAATACCTTCTGCCAAACTTATATACACATGGATGGGTGTAGTTCCATTTGCCATACCCCTACCCTTGTTCATTTTGCATGTCTGCCTATGCATCCACTCATAGATTATTGTTTGTTGTTACTGATACTGCAGGATTGTATATGCAAAGTTTTTACCTCTCAGTAACTGGCATAGCATCCTGCACATAGAAAACACTTGGTGAGTGTTTGCTGATGTTGGCTTGACTAAAAATCTATTGATCCTGCCCTAAAGGAAGCAGCAGAGCTCAGCAACTAGCCTCTGTAAAGGCACCCATTTCCCAGAAATCTAGTATTGGATTTGACTTTCATTTCACCCTTTAATCTTTTGGACTTTCACATCTCCAGTTGTCAACTAGTTTAAAAAATAACAATAGCAGAAAATCACACTTGGGTGCATTGGTCTGTTCAAGAGCCGCTGCAGTGCTGGAAATGCCCCTAAAAGTGGCGCTCCCATAATCACTCCCCATCTTCTTCCTCCCCAGGTTCCGTCTGGGATTCAAGCATGCCTTTAGGTGCTGCCCCTTCATCAGTGCAGGGGACTACGAGGGTCTCGAAATGAAATCCACCCGATACCTTCAGACACAGGGCAGTGTGTACAAAGTCAGCCGCCTAGAGACTACTGTCTCCACAGTAGTTGGTACCCATGAGGAAGAGCTGGAGGATGGCCCCAAGACCACGCCTTCATCTCTAGACCTGACTTCCAATGGTTCCTCCCGCAGCGACTCTAAGACCATGACAGAGAGCTTCAGCTTCTACTCCAGCATGCTCTCCTAAACACAAGGCCTTCCACCGGTGCCACACACCATTGTATCTTGCTTCATTTCATGCATGGGTATTTTCTTGATCTGTAGGCCATCAGAAATATCCTAACTCTGGGGCATTTGGAAAGGGTCAGAATTATTTAGGTGAAAACCTTCTATCCTGGAGTCCAAAAAACCAAGATCCTCCCCTGGCTTTGCCACTCTGACGCTGTGTAACTTAAGGTAAATCATCAAGCTTCTCTGAGCCTGTAAAATGATGACAAGGTTGGGCTAAAGTTTTTCTATAGCTCCATGATTCGGTTAATGCGCCAGACTGCAAAGCCGTTTGAACTGCAAGGTCGGTGGTTCAAGTTCACCAGCTGCTCCTCGGAACCCCTGTACAGGGGCCGCTATGGGTCGGAACGGTCTCGACGGCATTTCACCACCACGACGACGATGATTCTGAAGTAATTTAGGATACAAGCAAGGGCTCATTCAGGATCAATCTGGCAGTATACCGACAGATCAAATGAATTCATCTGCCTTTATTCCCTGCCTTATTTGAACAAATCCATTCCAGAATCATGTTCAGATTACCATTCCTTTGGCTAGTGACTTACTTGACACCATCCTTCACTTGATGGGGTGAACAAAAGAAGGCACTCCATAAAAGCTTAATGACAGAGTTAACCCCGACTCTAAGCATCCAAGAAAAGAGGACACACTCTCCTCCTTGTTGGGACCTCGGCATTTCAGTATGTTGAAACATTACAAGTCGGAATCAACTCAGACAGTGGGTTTGCTTTGAGGGAAGCACACTAGGAGAGTGAGAGCATCACAGTCTTCTGCATTCATTGTCTTCCCGGGGCATTTTCTAGGAAACTGACACAGGAAGAAAATGTCCACTAAATACAAGCTGGTATCTGTTACAGACCAACAGTCAGGAGCTCCATTGACTTCATCTGCCTGGGACTTGCTTTCCTTATTTGTGAAATAAAGGGGCTGAACTAGATCATCTAAATATCCCTTTGAATTTTAACATTCAATGGCTCACCGATTATATGATTTTTATTTGTTTCACACACAGAGAAAAAAATACCTGGCTCCTACACACCTAGAAATTGCTAAGAAAATATGTAACTATACATATCTGACATTCTCTACTGAATTCCCCTAAAACAGTGAGTGCATTTCTTCTCCTGGAAGGTTTTAGCCTACTGGAAGTTGGAGACTGCGTACCAAGCCTGCACCTCTCCATTGGACTCTAGCCGTCGAATTCTACAGCTGAAGATGCTATCAGAGAAGGCAAATGCGAGCTCCCTGCTCTGGCCTTGTGGACGTCTTAGGGCAGGGTTCTGACCCAGATTCACAGCTTTATAGTAACAGAGGAATGTGCCAGTGGGTGTGTAGGCTACCTGCTGCAGCGGTACCCCTGGGAAAACAGTACCTGGCAGTTTCCCTGAAAAGACCCCAAAATCCCCGCTCCCTGCCCCACAACTTCTCTGAGCTCCTACCTCTGATGGGGTGGTATGACTCACCAACCCTATAGGACAATGAGCCTGCCAAAACCATGAATGGAATGCTTCTTGTCTTAGTACATATTTAGAGTTTCCAGCAGGTGAATATGCAGTGTTTTGTGTGTCTCCCAGCTCTGTGCTTTGTCCAGATGTAGCTAGAAGCAGCAGCCTCATGCCACATCCATAAGTGTCCATCGTTTTAAAGGAAGAACAGCTCTACCCACAGAGTTCACAGCCTTTATAAGCCTTGCTGGCTCTAATCCACCCAGAGCATTGGGGGCTGTTGTATAGCTACCGTATAAGCCAGAAAGACCCATGCGTCATATTCTGCAAAGCAGCATGGAAGGGATTAAACAATTAAAGAAAGCCCAATCAGTAGAGGTATAAGAATAAAGGCATGGTTTAGAAACACAAAAGTCATTGTGCAAAGCTTTAATCATACTTTGAATAGAGAAGTATGCCATGTATGGATTAGTCACTTCAAAGGAAGTAGCTAAGAAGAAAGTGTCAAGGAATGGGGAACTTTCTGTCTACAGATGGAATGGTAGAGTTGAATTGAATGAGAGTTTATTGAGTGCCTGCTCTGGACTTCACCTTGAGCTGTGGGACACACGACCCCTTCTACTCTTGAGGAGCCTGCAGTCCTGGTGAGTCCACCCTGCCCAGTGAGGTTTGATGCAGCTGAAATGCCAATTTTCCACAGCATTCTAACAGCCAAGGGCTGGAACTTCCAGAGTCTTTTGCAAAAAGAGTTACCTGAGATCACTGCAAAAGAGCGGCCAGTAGGTCTAGGAGCCCTCTGGTGATGTAGTTAAACAGCATCCCACAGCACTTTCAATGGTCTTGGGCTATTTCAAATGTGATGAAACACCACCTCAGAGAGAGCCCAGTGATTCTGACCTACTCCTCAATGTCCATTTAACTTTAAAACAAAGTTGTCAGCTCCCACATGTGACAAACACCATGATTTGCACTGTGCATGGGTCTCATTCCTGTTACAGAAATGTATCACCCAATGTGTTGATCTCAGAAATGTGTTTCCTTAAAGTATTGTCCAGTAGTAATAGAATACAAGACATCATGGGGCCATCTTTTTTATGTTACTTTCAAAATGTGAGATCGAGTAGCTGTCAATGTATTGTTTGTACTGTGCCAACTTCCTCCTTCTTATTCTTTCTTATGGACTCACTGTAATTGGGACCACCATAATTGAGGGGTGGGGAGGGAGACTTTTCTGCGAGGAGCTAAAGGGCAAGGGTCCTTGTCTTCCTCACTTCTCATTAGCATAAAAGAAACGGTGGACTTCCCTTTCTTCTGAATGGGCTGAGTGAAAGCTTGGGAAAAGGGGACTCAGGAACTAACCTCTTGACCCAGCTTTAGAGGAGAAACATAAAAGTGGAAAGAGGTAGTCCCTGATTTTCCAGGTTTTCCAGCCTGGGATTTTTAAAAGAATGTCTGTACAGAAATAAAATATGTGTTTGACCAGCACGTTCCTGTGTTTTGTCTCAGGGAACCTAATCACACTATTGGGGTTGGCTTTGGGTGGTACTAAACCAGTTATATTAAGTTGATTCTGACTCATGGTGTCTCCATGTGTGTCAGAGGAGAACTGTGCTCCATATGGTTTTCAATGGGACATATATTAGCAGGCCTTTCTATGAGATGCCTTTGGGTGGACTCAAACCCCCCACTTTTCAGTTTGCAGTTGAACACATCTAGAAACCCCAGTGTCTTGCATGGCTAGAAGAAGAGAACATACAGCAAACTCCTAACACTGATAAAGTGGGTTGGCAGTATTCAGGAACTGTTTCTAGGTTGTGATCTAAGAAGTTAGATGGGATGGTGTAAGATGACCAACATGATGTCACCTATGAATAGAGAGTTGTGTCTGTTCAGATGCTCCCAGAAGCGGACACCACAACAGAGTTGGAAGTATGAGGGATTTATTGGAGGATGCTCCTGTGAAGTGAAAAGGGAAGAGGAAACACAAAAAGATAGGTAGAGCCTTCCAACCATGACACAGATCTGACATCTGTGGAAAAAAGGGAAGAGGAAGAATTGGGCAAGAAGAGACTCAGACTACACTATATCCCAGAAAGTCTTGGCGAGTCCAACATCATGCAGAGATTGTTCATAGACAAATCCCACACTGGCAAACACTGCCAGGACTAGTGCCCCTCCCACTTCCCTCGCTAGCTGGGAGCTCTCTGGGAAGAGTGGTCTCAGGAACACTGCAGTGGGCTCCAAAGATCCTGCAGCTGGAAGCTGTCAGCCAGTTAACTACACTCCTCACAGCAGGAAACACTCTCTGGAAGAGAGATCTGGGCCATGCACTGACAACACTGCCACCAGAGCATGTGCAGGCCCTGCATTTGAAATGCATGCCAGGAAGCCCTGGGCAGGACCTGAAAGTTCAGTCATAATCATAATCACTAGGACCCTGGCAACCTGCATCCCACTTCCCAAGCCGCCTTGTAACCCCTAGCTCCCCGGCCTGCATGTGCAAGGAGCCAAGGATGAGCAGCTGTGAATGAGCAGATCTGCAATGACAAAGATTGTTAAGCCATGATAAGAGGGAGTGCTGATGAAAATGTTGACAGCTAAGGAGCTCTGGTAGCGTAGTGGTTATGAACCGGGCTGCGAACCTTAAGGTCAGTGGTTCGAAACTACCAGCCGCTCTGCGGGAGAAAGATGAGGCTTTCTACTCCCGTAAAGATTTACACCCTCAGAAACCCTGTACAGGGTCGCTATGGGTCGGAACCGACTCGACGGCACTTAACAACAACAACAACTCAATGTATTTAGTGTCCAAAGCAAATATTAAGATATTTTCATTTAAATTAAGGCATCTTAAACTGGAATCCGTGTCTTAAGCAATCCGTGTCTCCTAACATTGAATAGTATGTGTGTAATAGAAGGTACAATTAAATTGGAATCTCTTCAAAAGAAGTAATTCGCCCTCTGCTCTCCAAAAGGAGTAGAGAGAAATTAAGTTGCATATGGAAGAAGAGGAAGTATGGTGGCTTGATACAATAAGCACTGGACTGCAAACCCCAAGGTCCATAGTTTGAGCCCACCAGCAACTCCATGAGAGAAAGATGAGACTTTCTGCTCCCAACAAGATTTAAACCCTCAGAAACCCTATACAGGATCACTAAGAGTAAGAACTGACCCGATGACATTTAACACCAACAACATGGAAGAGGAACAAGTTACCTGGAGACCTTTAAACCGCAGTGAGAGGTAGATAAGCCTCAGGACAACCAAACTGGCTTCTGGGAAACTGGAAACAGCTTGGATTAAAATCCTAGTTTACCTCAAGCATTCAGATGAGTTTACCTCAAGCTTTATAGTGTCATTAAAGATGTTTGTGGGGGAAAAAAATCCTACTAAATTCATAATTAAGGGGTATACTCAATCTTCTCAATGGAAAGATGAGCATTTATTGACTGAGGAAAGACTATGCCTTAGTTATAGGTTCACAAATAATACAAGATATGGGGTACAAACACTCCTGTGGAAATGCAAAGATGGTTTTCATTATTTTGGGTCGCATGTGGCCTACATACACAGTGAAGATACTTGTCCCTAGGAGCTACACCTGGCCATGTTAATGCTATCACTTTGGCTCCTTCAAATCTCTTATGTAAACAGTGTTGTTGTTGTTGTTGTTGTTGCTAAGTGTCGTTAAGTCGGTTCCAACTCATAGTGACCC